ACAGCCCTCATGGCCCACTGTGCTACCAGCGGTCACTCTCCTAACTTCGACGGAGCAACGATTCTCCAACAAGAGCAACACTATAACAAGCGCTTTATCTTAGAAATGCTCCCCATGTTAAACACAACGACAATCATACGACTGAACTACAAAACGGACACTGATAATTGCGTTCACCTATATAGACACACACAGACGTGTAATCAGTTAGGGTATTCGTAAGGTTTGCTATTTGTCGTATTTGTGCTATCTGTTGCTCTTTTAGCACACCTGTCTTAAAATTGTTGTTGTTTCGTAAAGGAATACGAAATAGCACAATACAACTGCGAAACCTATGTATACGGAATATTATGTTTCGCTATTTCAACGTGATATTCGACCAACTGTTTTTGTTTACATTTTTCTTCTTACCTTAGCTGCCAAAATATATTAAAAGTTGACAAAATCTGAGATGGAGGTAAATTTAAATAATCAGGTGAGTTGTTATAGAATTAACGCAAAATATTGTTGCTGCAGGTACCTTACATCTACATATACATATGTATAAAATTGCCAATTTTTTTTGTATTTAAGGGAAAAGTAAAACGCGTGCGTTCCAATGCAACCAAAAGATGGACTATGATCGAAGAGCGGCAGCTGATTGAATTTTTAATGGAGAATCGGGATTTTGAGGTTTGTTCAGGTTTAGATTCGAACTTAGAAAGATTTAAATGGATTTATTTAATTAATAATTAAAGAAACCGACGGCGCAAGCATTCTACACGCGCTTCTTGGAGGAATTAGACTGGAAACGTGTACGATCCAAGGTGAGGAACATGCGTGTGAACTACAACACCGCTAAGCAATGGGAGGGTTCCACTGGTGCGGGTAGTATGGATGGAGACACTATTAAGAGTAAAGTTTTGATGTTTATTGAATTCTCAGTCTGACTATGAAAAGTAAAATTTGGTAGGCACTTTAACAAAAATGTTTAGTTTCTTTTATGAATTTGATGACATATTCGGAAGCACACTACAGGTGCCGTCCATAATTGAGGAAACTCCACATAGCGAGGCAGAGAACTTTGATGATTTAAATATTGAGTATATACCTGACGCACAGAATCCTATGAGCAACTTAAGTCCAGATATCCAGTACCTACCTTATGCTCAGAATCTGGTGAGCATTTCAAACCCGACCATTGAACCTATCGCTCAAAATTCGAATCGCGTTTCTAGCATGAATAACAATTCTTCAGTGGTAAATGAAAGTCTGTCAGAGGTAGAATGTACTCCAAGCACAAGCCGTAGAGGCATTTATACCAGAACTGCCCTTTCTGATATAATGAAAGTGCAAACTGAGGCATTAGCTTTAAGAAAACGAAAGTTAGATGAAGATAGAAAATTTCGCAAACGTCAAGCTGTGAAGTTCTACTTATTTTGTGCCTTGATTGTTCTTTGTATTTTGCAAAGTTTATTGTGCTAATTTTGAGTAAAAGTTGCTATAAAAAGTGCCTACGAGCATCTTAGTGTGATAATAACCGAAGCTAAGTGAAAGATTTGTGATTTTTGTGGTTTTTATTAAATTAATTAAATTTCACTATCTTACATCTAATCTTGCCGAGTCATTTGTTGTTATCATTGTTGTTCTTATTCCTTTGTAGTTAACTGAGATCGTTTCTATTTTTGCACATTTCTTTTTGCTCTTTTTGTTTACTTCGTTTAGTATTTCTTGTCAGAGCTGTTTGCGCTGCGTTTATTAAGTGTCATAATACAGTGATACTCAAACTGTTCGCTACATATATTTTTAAGCTAAATACATCAGTGTTGTGTTAAATTTATTTTGCTTGTCTTTTTATTAACATAAGTGTTATTAAATCTTTCAATATGAAGTGTGATCTTGATAACTGCCAAATTAAAAGCGAATCTGAACGCTACTTATCGTGCTGGCTCTGTGATGGTATTTGCCATCTAAAATGTGCTGGTTTGACAGGAAGAATTCTGGACGCTATTAATGATGGCAAAGGTCTTCGCTGGTCTTGCTTAAAGTGCAGGTCAACCGAAGTTGATCTCTTTAAGTTGTTTAGGCAAACCAGAAATGGGTTTTCTGAGGTAGGGAGAGAGTTGTCGGTACTGACCGAAAAATTTAAACATTATGAAAATGTATTTAAATCTTTTAATCTAAGCACCGTACAATCTATGAAGGACATTCATGTGTCAAAACGTTAGCGTCTTCATAGTCCGCCTAATGAAAGGACCGTTCCACGTCAGAACAATCTTCCGAATGACTTAATTAATCTTTCTTCTCCATGTCCACAGACAACGGAGTTATCTTCCTCAAAAGAACATATATCAAAGTCTGCTTCTAATAGTAACGACCCTGCAGTATCTTCCCCGTCCCCCGTTGAAGTTATGGCACCGCCATCTAATCTTCCAACGCTTACTCTACCCTCAATTAGTAACTCAGTTACTCAACCCCGTCCGCCGGTAATCGAGTCTGATTCTAGGAGACTGGTTGTGGTTCCCCCAAAGAAGTCTATATTTGTATCTAGATTTTCGAGGGACACTTCCGAGGACGATATAAAGTTTTACATCTCGTCCAAAGTTAAAACTGTCAACTTAAGTATCAGAAAATTTAATTTTAAATATGAAAGAAAATATTTCTTCATTTAAAATAGACGTAAATTTAGAAAATTTTGACATGCTGCTTAGTAGTTCTTTTTGGCCCTCCGGAGCTTTCGTTCGTTAATTTGAGTATAGGCCCAACAAAAGTCATAATTTAGCAGATATTCCCCGTCAGAATACAGAACCAAAAAACTGATTACTAAATCTGCTTTAAGTATTTATTATCAAAACGTAAGAGGCATAAATACTAAATTAACGAATTTATATCTTAATGGCCTTGAATGCAATTATAATATAATTTCTTTGACTGAAACTTGGCTCAAACCTCACACTTTTAATTCAGAGATTCTTTCAAATAATTATTATATCTACAGAAAAGATCGGGAGGACAGAGTCGGCGGTGGCGTACTCTTTGCCGTAGACTCTTCAATACCATCTGAAGAAGTTAGTCTTCCACACATTGAATCTGCAGAATTCAAATGCATTCGGGTTCAGGTTGGAAGGGGGTTTACTTACTTAGCTCTATGCTATATTCCTCCCCGATCTGACTTATCAGTGTATTCACAACATGTATCTTTACTGAAATCAATTAATTCAATGATTAAACCGTCTGATTCATTGATTGTGTTGGGTGACTTTAATTTACCAAATGTATCTTGGAACATCATTGACAATGATATTGTACCTTTCTCGTCTAGCGCGTGCAACAACGTATTTTTAGAGGAGATGGCAGAACTCTGTCTGAATCAAGTTAATGTACTTCGCAATAAGTTTGGCAAAGTGTTAGATCTTGTTTATGTTGATGATGCATCTAATTCGGCTGTAAATAAATGTGACCCACTAGTTTTGCCCGAAGATGTCTACCACCCTGCTATTGAGATATCTTACGAAATTATAAACGATGGTCAAAATTGCGATGTCCAAACATACGAACCAAATATTCGCTTTGATTTTTCGAAAGCCAACTTTAAAAAACTGAATAAAGAATTGTCGTGGCCTATATACAAAGAAAAAGTTGAGCAAAGCGTTGCACATTTTAATTGTACTGTACATAGATTATTTGAAAAGTATGTGCCTCAACGCATGTGTGTTCCTGAAGAACAAACACAGTTATGGTTCACTAAAGAACTGAGAAACTTGAAAAACAGAAAGTCACGTTATTTTAGACTAGCTTATACCCGCGGGTTTCACCCCGCGCTTTTATACAAATAGGAAAAATAATTTAATGATGTTAGATTTTATTTCTGTGCCCATTTCGTTATAGCTCGTTATTTTC